AGCAGAGGAACCAGGAGACGAGAGGGAAGCAGAGGAACCAGGAGACGGGACCTCAGTGGTCGGAAGGACAAATCTTTGGTAGTTGGAGACGACCGGCGGGGAGTCCGAGGTCGCAGTGATGAGGGCCACATCACGTGACGACCGGCCAGTGGTTCGACATTAATTCCCCCTCTTTTAATAATTTTAGATTTAGATTCATGATTAATTTTAGCGTGCTGTTTTAACTGTTCCCATTTTACAATGCTGAACTTTTTCTTTTAGCTTTCTTTACACAAACAAATGTATACTCTTTTTGGAGTGCTATCATGAGACCCATTGGAGTTTGGAGCCCGAGACTTCTTAATCTAGGTGTTGGCTTTTTTTTTTTATTGCATATTTATTTTTTAATATTTTAAACTAATAAATCCTTTCCCTCCCTATTAGACTGGACAATTAAGCTGCAACTCCGGCTCTCCTGGTCGAGCACCACTCAGGTAGAAGCAGCCAGAGCAAATCACCGGCGGAGAGGCTAATCCTTGAAACTCCAGCAGAATCGGAGTGTTTTGTATTATTACACTCTCCTGCTCCTGGATTAATTTGAGGCGGAATGGAATCTGTAAATTGGCTTGGCTGTTGAACACCCCGCCTGCCTCTCAGTGCTAAATGGGTCAGGGAGAGGACACATGCTGTACTGTATGAACACACACACACACCAGATCACAGCTTGACACGTCTTCTCCAGTTGCTTTTGATGGCGAGGAGAGGCCAGATTGACATGACATGTAAACAGTAATTGTAGGGAAGAAGCAGAGACTCGCTGTGAAATCGAAAGTACTTGGAACAAATTTGGACAAACAAGATGGTTGAATGGTAGAATCTGTTTTATCTTTTTTTCTCTCTCTCGTAATCTGCTTCCTCTCTCTTCACATCTTTCCATATTGATTTCTCTACGTTCTCTTTACTCACATCGTGTTCCCCTGTTTTCCACCCTTTGCTTCTTTCCTGCCTCCCTGTTCACCCCCATCTTCTTTCTTTTTCAGCCGTATGATTTCTTCCCTTGTGTTATTCTTTCATTTTTCTGCATGACTCTGTTTCTGTCACCCTCCACCTCGTTGTCTCCCCTCCTCGGTCCCCTCCCTCATTTCCACCACAGCCGCCAGAGAAATCTCTAGAGATCCACTCCCTCCATTTCCCAGCCGTCACTGGTGATCAGCCTCTGGAATCTATCCAATCTACAGATCACACAGAAACTCGCCGTGACCATTTGATAATGCAGACGAGGACGTACGGCTCCCATGTTCATTCCCCGTGCCTCTGAATCAAGCTTTCACATTCGTTAGTGGTCGTTTGTTGGCAGGCTGCTGCCTCTTGGTGGCTGCTGGCGGTACGCTTGGTGCCGTCAACAGCTGGAGTTTCGTGCTCTGTGGCGTTTTCATAATGGGAGGGAGAATTCTCCCGGCACCCCTCGCCATCTGTCTCGGGGACTTCTCCATTTCCCAAGTGAACCCTCCTTCCCTGATTCCACCTTCACCCCCGATCTGTTCCTCCTCTCTCTTCAACCTTCTCGTAGGTGTTGCTTTGATTCTCATCAATGATTATTGCTGTTAAAGCTGTGGTGGGCAGTATTTACCTGTACGAGTACAAGTCATTCATTTTGATAATAAAGTATATATCTAAACATCTAAACATCTAAACATCATCCCACATGTGATCCTGATGCCGTTTCATGTAACGGCAATTCTATGAGAATTTCTATCCTGTTTCTTTTGCAAACCCGTGGCTCCATTAAAGCCTTTGAGATGACATATTGTGATTTGAGGCTCGAGCTAGAGCATGAACGAGCATGAACGCTTCATCTGGATCAAAGTCCACCAGGTGTCCAGACGTTGGACGACAAAGTGCTGGTCTCCTTCTTTAGATCCTCCTATGCCCACCCGCATTCTTGCTGAAAGCTTCATGGGAAGATCAATAACAGCTAGTTAGCTTAGTTTAGCATAAAGACATCTCTAGAGCTCAGTAAAATAACATGTGACATATTGTTTGTTTCATTTGTACAGAAACCAAAGTGTAAAAGAGGACTCGTGGTTTTATAGGTGACTACTTCTTGGCCGAGTTAAGTTACTTCCTGGAGTCTGTGTGTTTCACTGCGATGACAAGAAGGATTGTAATTGATCAACTATGGACAAAAGCATGACACACATGTGAGTAGCAGTAAACAAGTTTTTACTTCTCTTCCCACATCTGCGCATCTGCCCTCTGTCACACACACACACACACACACACACACACTAACAGAAGAAATCATGGCCGGCTGCCCAGTCACACCGGCCATGCCTGACGTCTTTCCATTAAGTTCAGCACATGCAGGAGAGGAGAAATACCAGAGCAGAGATATGGAGCGAGAGATGCAGCAACACGGTGAGAGATGAAACAACTGAGGCTGAAAACAAAAGATGGAAACATGGGAAGAAACTTGAGGAAGAAGAGATTTTAATAGCCGAAAGGCTGCGGAAACAAAAACAAAAGCAGAAATTGGATTGACAGCGGCAGACATGCAGGCAGTAGAAAGGCAGATACAGCAAACAGATCACATATTTGCAATTTTGCTGGTATTTGACGTTCCCTTCCATAAAGCGTCTTTGAACAGGACGGAGTGCAGAGCTGACAGAGTAAATAAAACAGGAAGGCAGATGAGCAGAATCGCTCTCTCTGAAAATACTTAAATATTTGATGCTTTTGGAAGTTTTGTTTTCAGCTGTCATGCCAAAAAAAATGTTGAGTTTAGATTTTCTCTATCACAAATAATATCACAGATCTTACTACAGCACATGTTGAATCAGGCAAAGCAGTCTCTGTAATTCAAGATTATTAGTGATTATACTCTGAACGTATTTCATAGAGATTGTATCAGTCGGACACAAAATGAGCAGGACCCTGTTTCCCGATAATCAATCGAAGACAATACAAATTACAATTACAGATTACAATTGCTCTATTTCTGATCAGAAACATACTTCGGACACAAAGCACTATACTGTTAATGGTTTCTGTGTCTCTGTCCTCCTTGTCCCCGCTTTGCCTCTCAGTGTGCGTTTGTGTGTCTCGTTCCCGTCTCACTGCGACTGTTGCAAAAACCAAGCAGCTCACAAACATCTGAGTTAAAAATGAGAAGATGTTTACAAAAAAGAGAAATGCCACCAAAGGAGCATAGGAGTAACATGATGTACATTTCATAATCTTTTTACTCTTAACACTCTGAACCTTTGCACATCCTCTAAAATATATCTCTGTGCATTCCAGCCATGACCTTTCATATACAGTAAAACAGATATATTGTACATTTTGTTTTATTCTATATGTATGTTATTGTTAATGCATCAAAAACACCAAAGCAAATTCCTTGTATGTGTAAAACTACGCGGGAATTAACCGGAATCTGATTACGCTGATTCCAGTTGCTGCTTGATACAAAACCACAGATAAGAAACAGTTTGTGGGACATTCGTATTCAGCTTAAAATAAAGATGCTTCATTCAGCTGTGAGTGTGCAATGCAAACACATAGTGGGGGTGGGGGAGGTCCAGTTTGGGCCCTGCCTACCAGCACACCAGCCAGCAATCAGCTCATCACCTCTCTTGCACATCAACCTTGGTTCTTCTGCCACTTGTCGCCTGGTCGTTGTGTCAACCACTGTGGTATCTTCTCTCAGGCCTCCAGCTCTGAAGTCTTAGAGAATAGTTTTCCTTGTGTTCTTGAAACGTGCACTGACGCTTGTTTTGTTCTTTGTGCTCCAGTATCCTCGAGGGTCCTCTCTTGCTGCCACTGTCTCGTTCCACATCATCCATCAAAGAGTCAACCAGACATTTTCTTTCTTCAACTCATCCCCAACAACAGTAGTCCTCGCAATAAGCCTAACATTGTATGCTGTGGCATTAAGATTCACCTTAATTGAAATTAAGGGTACAAACCCAATTAATGCAAAACAGCTGTAGACCAGTATGGGGACGAACCTGTAACACACAGTTCTGTGAACTTTTAGGGGCGGTCTTACATGTTGCATCTAAAAACACATGCAAAACGCCAGCCGTGCCGCTTTCATCCTTTCATCCTTTCATCCTTTCATCCAAGGTGCTTTGGATGGTTGTCCTAACTGTCGTGCCCACAGAAATAGGCGCTGGTGAACGCTTGCGCACCGCAGCGGTTGCTTTAGCTTTTGAGCACACTTCAGCACGTCTACATTGACAGCAATGGATTTGAGGGCGAATAAAACACCACACGTTAACGGCCCCTTATCCTACTCGCAGGCAGTAAAAGCTCTAGTGCTACATGTGAAGACAGTGGGTTGTAAAAGATGTACAGCTGCTGTGCTGTAAATGCTGGCGCGGTTGATGACATTGGTTTCTGGGACTTCATAATTTTGCTGATAAACTTATCAAATCTTATCAAACAAGTAATTCAGTAAAATGCATCTCTGCATTCTCTACATTCCTTTCTTGACTCTGGACTGAAACATAGCTGCCTGTCCTCGCAGCCACCGTCCCTTTATTCTTCCCAGGCTCCCTTCCTGCCCGGCTGTCCTTTACAAGGCCCTGTCAATTTAATGTGATGGACAGAGGAGCCGACAGAGCGTTCCTCTGACAGCTGTAACACTCTCCCTCCAATTGACCCGGTCCTCTGCTAGCAGTTAGTCCAGTTCATGGACGGCTGAGGACATAAATCTACTCAAGAGGGACGCAGGAATATCATTTTCACACACTTGGACAAGACGAGCTTCCTGTCTGTGCAAATGAATATGCAAGATGTACGTACGCAGGGTATATCAAAAATTCAAGTCATTAAAGGTGCAATGTGGAAGATTGCATCCATAAATCGTTCATTATGAGATGTTACCATAGTTGCTGTAAACAGATACGAGTAGTGCTTTCGACATTTTTTAACATTTTTGGCTTGAGTTTTTAGTTTGTTTGGAAGAAGCATCCTTTTCCACTCACATCCTGCCTACCAACAGACAAACACATAAAAGGATTGAACTGGTCTTATTCGGGGATGCCGAATGCTCTGTAATTCTTAGATCATGAAATACATTTGTTTGTAATCCACTTAATCATAAACCAGGAAGTACAGAACCAGGTGCGTTAGTTTGCACTGGTATTTCTAACATAGCCCAGCAGCTATAAGAGGCTGGGTCGTCACAGTTCTGCAAAGCACTTCGGATGAAAACACATCCTCCAAATGTTCCACACAGCATGTGCAACAAATCTTCATTGGTCGCACATCATCTAAACACTCGTCATCTTACTTTCCACTTTGAAAAGTGCGAGTATAGAAAAAAGGATCATTCTGTAGCCACTGCTGTGTATTGATTTTACATTCAGAGCGAACTGTCGGCTCGCATTCGAGCATGTTATCTTCTTTACATGCCGGGTCTCGGTATTCCCGTGGCGGAGATGTGTCGGGGCAGCACACTCATTCCTGCACATTCTCAACCACTTTCCATCCATTTCGCACAAGGTCAGCCCCAGACGCATTCAGCGGCGTGTCTGCATTCATCACATCTTGATTCACAGCAAACAAGCCGTACCTGCGGGTGAGATGTCATTGTGAGATTTGTATTCCTGCCCTGCTCCAGATTTCTCTTTCGCCTGCAAATGTGAGCTGGTTCTACTCTCCGTGGAGAGGAGCAGCTTTCCTGGTGTTAATTCAGGCCACGTAGGTGCAGACTCTGGGTAGTTCTTATCATCTACTTTAAATATTTTGGTGATCACACAAATAAGTACAACTTTATTTACCTGTTTCCTTGGTTCTGAACGGCACTAACCCTGCGGTTGCACGGTGGGGTGCAGGTTTCAGTCGTGTCCGTTGTGATCTTCTTCAGTGGTTTTGTCGTTTTTTAATTTCAGGGTGATAAATGAATGCAACTGAGGCAAACGGGATGAGTTCATTTTACTTTTCAGCCATGGCCTTGGAGGAGCCGGCGCGGCGATTATGGACAAAGTAAACAGAGAGGCAGATGGAGGGGTGGAGGAGGGAGGGAGGCAAGGCAGGAGGTTTGGATAGGGAGGGAGATGTTGGTCACAATGGTTCATTGTGTGCAGACTTCATCAGCACAAGGACACAGTCCCCTTCATACACACACACACACACACACACAAATCACTGAAAACTCAAGTAAAGTGCATTATTATGAACTAAAAGACACGCTTTGGGCGGCCCGGCGACGTGTTTGCTGCTATATTAATGCTCTGGATGACGTATGGAGCATCTCAGAGATCTTGGCATAGAGGAATAGTGAAACAAACTAAATATGAATCAAAATCTAATCGAGTCAATGAAGATAGAAATTTATGTAAATTTTACAAAATATGTACAAATTCATTTTATTTTTGTCAACAAATCAACTCAATGAAAATCACTAGAGCTCCATTGTCTTCAGCGCGACCCTCCCACAGAGGACATCCTCCAAACATTCAGCAGTAGAAATGCAAAACGTTAACGTTTTCTCCACGTTATCGTCAGTTTGTAAGAAGAGGAAACCCGTCTCAGTTCATCGTCAAGATCCTGTTCATATTTTCTGGGTCCACGAGTTCCATCTGTTCTCTCTTGTAAGCAGGTACAGAAAACAGCGCTCAGTTCTTCCGAGGCTTCACTTCTTCTTTCTGTTTCTCCAGTTCTTCCGGTGACTGCGTCTCAAACTGTTCCATCAAATTAGATCCATCTGTTTCCTCCTCATGTAGACAATACACAGGAAACGCACTCCGTCCAGCAGGACTGCCAGTCTTGTCCCGCGTGTGTTTGGAAGTCTTCTATGAGGAGTTCAAGGACACCAGCTGGTGAAAGGATACAGCATGCAGTGGACGGTCTTAAACCTGTAGAGGACAGAAGAGATTCATAATAACTCAGAGGCAAGTTTGACTTTACAACTTGATTTTTATGCCGTTTATATGTCAATATATTTGTTTGCATATTGCTCAAATACTGTACATGTACAGGGTTGGCTGGTTTTTCAGTCTTTGGTCCAGAGTAAGACATAACAACAACTCCTCGTCTATATGATATGAAATACTTCATAAATATACCAGCAGTTGTGTAGATTTTAATCATCCCCCAGGATCATTGTATTTTGGTGGGACCTGAGGTTTTTTTTGCAGTGCCACCATCACGTCAAAGTTCCTCTTGACTAACACTTTACTCTGTGAAATAATGTCCAGAATACCACGCAGTATGTTGAGGACATTCTTCAGAGAGGAAGAATCCTCTCTGGCATAAAGGCACTTCAGCATCGCTTCACTCGACAGAACCGGAGGTTGCCGTCGGCCAGTGACAGACAAACCTGGAGGGGTCTTCCTTCTTCGAAAAGCTTCCTTTCACCTCGATGCTGTTCATCTTGTTCTCAAACATCCCATAGCTCAGAGTCACCTGCAGCGGAGGAAACACACGCACATACATGTAAGAAGAAGCGCATGGATTTCTCTGTGTGTGTGTGTGTGTGTGTGGGGGGGGGGGGGGTACCTGGTGTGGGATGCTTCTGTGGCTGACGAGCAGCAGGTTCTCCAGGTGGGAGTGGAACAGAGGACAGTGGACCATGGAGATGCCCAGCCTCTTCTCCACGATGAAGCCCACCGTGCAGTCGTCAGGGAGACGGATCGTCGCCGACGTCTGCTCGAACCGGGAGCCGCTGAAACACACACACACACACACACACACACACACACACACACACACACACA